CGCACGCAGAGAGATGAGAATCTCACTATATCCTGTTGGCAAACTGGGCTTTATAAAACGTAAACATACGTTTATTTTGAGTATATAGTTTGAAGAAGACGTTTTTGACAACGGAAACTGCAGCAAACCTGTCTTAGAGACAAAACCCTAAGATTGCAAAATAAATTCAGGGCACAGGTTAGTAGTTTGAAGGGCCTTGCATGAAAACCCACCAAAATTTCGAGGGTGATATAGTAAAGCGTGTAGTAGGAAACCCGATACTTTCCTAGGGCTACATATACAAGGCACTCGAAATAGGTTGCCTATCGCTCTGCTAAAGTCGGATGACGGTTTTCAACTGTGCGAGAAAGACGAAAAGGGTGAATAGCTATCCCCTTTTTTCAGTCGGTTTTTACGAGAGGCCGATTTAACCGCTGTCAACTTTAGTGTGGGTGAGATTCCGACCATTAATTCAGTTGTCCTCACGGAACGTACTATCCTGCAATAAGTTCTAGAGGTTCAAGACACGAAATCCCCAGGTCAGGATGGAATACCTGTAAAGCTATCAAAAGTGCTAGGCATTGAGTTGACAGAACCCCTGTTCTTACTCTTCCAAGCCTAGCTTAACACAGGTCAATTGCCACCCTATTGTATAACAGCATGGATCACATGCAGTTGTAAAAGTTGGAGTCGAGCGCCACCAAACAACTTCAGGTCATCAAGCCTCGATTCAGTACGTTGCGCAATAATGCAGTGAATAGTGAAGCACGAGCCAATGCACGTGTTTGAGTACCTTTTAATTCTCTATGCTATGTATTATCAGATTGTGCATTTACTGTACTTCATTTCTGTCCAAATAGTTACTCCTAGCCCTACTGTGTAGAAGGTACTTTTACAGTATGGTCCTTTTTTCGTGCACCACTTCTATTTGGGGCTTTAAATAAGTCAGGCGCGTCCATTATTTATGAAAGTTTTCGCCAGGCTGTTGTATGGGTGCGTGACTGAAACAGCTAAATCCTCTACCTTTTGTTTTATTTCCAGTTGTCTTACACGTCAATGCAATAACTCACTAGTTCCCGCCCTTTTAGCAACGTAGTAACGTTTTTGTTATCTGCTCTTACCCTATATTGTCCCACTCGTACAACTAATATTACCATCGGCCTACCATCATAAATGTTTTCGGGGTGTTATGTTTCTATGATAAGCTATATAATAGACTTTAAATGAACAGAAAGTGGAAAATGGGCTGTGCGCATTTAAACTGCAAGTTTGTTTTTTTCAGGTTGCATTTCAGCATTTGTCTCATTTTGTTTACTGTTCAAATTTGAAAAGGTCATAATTCCAGTATAATAATAAGAATATATACTCTGCTCAGCAGAATAGACTTGTAAATTTGCTGACGTTTCTGACATCTGTCACCGGGCATTTGGACCTCCCCGCGGCCTTCAAAGCCATACGGGATTAAGTAAGTAAATGACAGGACACGGGCAAACCGAAGTCAAGACTCGGAGATAAAGACGGCACTGTGACAAAACCACTGGTAGAGGGAGCAGGATTACCAGCACCCTGTACAGTTTGGAGAGAGCAGAAGAGCAATTGCCGTCACGCCAAGCCTAAATCCACAGGCATGGCCAAACAGCTACCGGAGAAAAATGGATCAGCTCAAGGTGAATACGCATAGCAGCGACTTTGTGATAAATATATATATATAATTTATTATAATATAAATAAATATTTATCTGTAAATATAAATATTATCAATATTCGTCAGTGAATATACTAGTTTGATTCCAGTGAACAGAAGATGAATTCTTATCAGTTTACTGTTACTGCAAATCACTTAAAACAGGAGGAAAGATGATATTTGTATTGGGCGCTGAACCTCTGATATAAAATGGTACACCAATGATTTATGCCTAGATTGAGATTAGTTTGAAAACGCCAATGATGATAAAAGGCATTACAGACTGATACACGGTACAAAACTTCATAGATGTCATGCAAATTTTTGTTTGTAATGGAGTTCAGGTGGATTTACCAAAAGGCCGCTGTCATGATGAGAGGTCAATCAAGACGTTCAGCAATGCGTTCTACAGCTTCTTACGAAAATTAAATATTAAAAGGATTCCTTTAAATTAATGTAAGGGACATTACATTTGCAGTTATGTAGGGCGGAGCCGGTGCTTATACAGGTGGGACATATGAGGGAAAGGAAAATAAGGCGAAACATTTTAAATTATAAAATGTGTCAAAGAATTGACAATTATATAACTAAATTAATTATTCACAACAAACCCGCGATTATTTAAATGACAAGTATCGTCAAAGTTAAAACAGCAGAGCAGTTTTCGGTAGATTTTTTTTTATTTCTGGGTATAGTTTTATGACTAAAAAAGCCCAACAGAGTGGCAGAAGGTATTTTTGTATTCACTTAAACTCCAGTATACCTTAAACCATACGGGCATCGGTTGCTAACGGCGTGGCATAGAAAGTTCATGAAATTTTCGTAAAATTCGTACAATTGCCTAACTAATGTTCTTTTTTTTCACTGTAGTCAAATAAAATACAGCTGCAGGAGACTATTCGATAACTTTATGGCGCAAAACGTGCCAGATTAGTAGAATTTAATTTTATTTCAAATTGAATCTCCATTCGCTTTGCAAACAAAATGTAATTTGCTATACTTGGATTAAATTGTTTTGCATGAAGGCAAACGAATAGTTACCATTATCTGAAATGATTGTGCAAGTGGCTTCGGTAGTGAATTATTTTTTAGAAAATACCTCAATGTCTACGCAATGCATTTCAGTAGGCAAAGTTATTATGTGCTCAAACAGGCTTTCCTGCTTTAGTAATGTCAGTGTGGTGTGTGTCGGTGTGCTAAGTGGCTGGTCAATGTGCTGGTAGTAAAACGCTGACTTTAAGGTCCTACACCAAAGGACGGCAGCCCTTGAATTGACATCAGCTTAGTCACATTAACAGAAAACGTTTAATTGCGCGTATTGGGCATTTGGCCTTGCCGCTCATGGTCCCTGGCGCTTATGGCTCTCAGACTGCCATTTTTACCTAACCAATCACACACTCAAAGGTCACTGCGGCCTGCTGAAACGAACTACAGCAATCAATTAAACAGCACATACTGCCCTATGGACGCATTGATTGCACGCAAGCAAATAATTAACTCAAGGCACCTTAATTCAGGACCGGCGGAAGAGAAAGCACCACGCTCTGACGATGAGAACGAGCATGTTTCGAAATGCCACCACAAAAAAAATTTGGTCCCAGCACTTGCCCCCTCTTCTTCTTCCTCTTCCAGCGTGGTTGAGCACGACGTTTATGATTTTACATAACCAATGCATAGAGCGTGTGGTTTGGATAACTTGCTATATCGTGTAACAACCAACAGGATTCAAACTTATTTGGCAATATGTACTGCTTTTGTAAAAGTGCAAGATATCCTTTCCTCAAGTACGAAATTCGAAAAAGGCGTCATCATTTACAAAACGCATACAATGTATAATATATACGTGCATGGTTTCAAAAAAAAAATATTGTGAAATGCAATAGTGATCAAAAATCAAACCGAAGAATGCACGCTACTTAAACAGCCACGAGGCCCATTTTAATACCAGTATCCTCTAATGAATCTGCAAAATAATCATTATTGCAGCCATGGTTAAGTAATTTTTCAAATGAAAATCAGCATTGCGGATGACTTTTCATTAAGTCAGAAGTATACTGTTCACAACCAATCATCTCCATAAATGAACCTGCAATGATATTTGACTTATTTTGACTAAACCCACCTCATTCGGATGAAGTCTTTAGAGGAAACCTTCCCCTATCTTCGTAGGGCAGTGGCCTTTGCACCAAAGCTACTATGCCAACCAATGAAGTAGAAGCCAAATCCACTTTGAAGATGGCCTCCGTCTTACAAAGACGTTGACCCCCTGCTGTATCCATCGAATGCTGGAGTCGAACATGTGTCACGTCTCACGAAAAATAATTGGTTTTGCACCAATGCATTCGGATTTACGCAAAGGTGGTAGATATGAAAAGGCGTCACTTCTAGTTAGGATACATTTTCACAGGCAAGAGAGTAACGCACACAATATTTTCTTAGCAAATTGGAGCACCTGACAGAGCTTAGAACTCATCAGCTGTTGACAGACAAGTTTGCTGCAAAAAGCTGTAATTTTAAACACTTGCGAAAATGACGCCCCGGCTACCTAGCTTTTCGCATCTACTTCTATACCGATCACGAGGCTTGATAAACTGGCACCGGTTCAACCTTTCTCTGCTTATCGCTTTCGTTCTCTTGAACTGGCTGTTCCAAGCGACGCTGCACAATACAGATTGGAGCTCCTCTACGCCTCCTAGCGACAGCAGCGTGATAGTGGTCTGTGCAAGTGACTGGTACGCTCCTATTTCGACCACGATTAACGGAAGTTACCGCCTGCAGCTAAAGGTACCAGTGGATCCAACTGTCGCAACAACCCGCTTTGACCGTGTTCCCAGTAGCAAAGTTGTGAAATTTGACAGTCATCCGCGCCTACTCTCCTTCGAGGATATGGCTGAGATCGAGGATCAATTTTGGCGTCTGCCTGTGGACAAGCAAGTCTACCAGATTTATCCACGGACCCTCAACATGTCGGATGTGGTGAGCAGGGTGAAGTCATGTCGTGCAGTGCCGGAGGTGGGTTCCCGTGATGCTCTATTCGTAAGTTGTTCCTGTGAAGAGTAGCTAATTTTGCTGTTGCTTTTGATTGCGCTTACTGTGTTTGTATTGGTCTTCTGTTGTTTTTGAAGGTTTTAAGTGTTGAAAGCACCTCACAGTGTTCATGGAAAGGTGAAACTACGTGTTAAGGTTTTGCGTGCACTCACGATGATAGTTGGTTTTGGCACTTTCACTCTACTCTGCCTCTAATGACCAGGTGATGGTCCAATCGCAAAAATGGTTGTCATGGATTATATTTTCCGAAAAACGTATTCATGATCAACTTATATCGGTTTGAATTTCCAACTTTCGACACATTTTATGCATTTTTGATTGTTATACACATCTTATTTTCTTAACAGCTGGTGCGAAAACATCTAACTCAATACGATGACAAACATAATATTACATGGTGGTCAGAGTGTAAGCAGATAATTAAAATTCAGTGAGAGAAATAGATATACGTCACTTGCATGGAATTATCTAGTGCATTCGTAGCTATGTTTTGTCGACCTGTCTTAGGCGTTTAAGTGGTCGCACCCTATACATCAGCAAAGAAATTCCGGAGAAAACCCATTTTGGGAAAATAATTTGCGCGATTATCTCATTTCTCTTTGCCCTGCCTTTTCATTCGATATGTGTGTTTCCGCACGAATTCGCAAGCTGTTAATAGATCTTCGTATTTTGTGACATTGATTGGTTTCTCCCAAAATGTGAGATGTCTCATGAGTACGTATCTTTGCGATACACGCAAGTATGTAGTATCCAACCGGTATTTCTGTGTTCGTGGACACTTAAGAATATAAGATGTTCGTTTGCCTCTGCTTCGAATGTAAATCTTTGAGGTTTTCGTGGTGTCCTTGCCTATATCATTAGTTGCCTTTTGGCGTGCTTTGTCAGTGAA